AATAATAAGCGCCGGGAATTCAGTGCGGCCAGGGACCTGGACAGAGTTTTCAGAGGGTGGAGGGGGAGCCGTTTTGCGAGGTACAACAAATAAGTACCGTATTTGTTTTTTTTTTAAATATTGATACACGGGAGGAAAAAAAGAGAAAATTATATTCAATGGGCAACAGAATTCCATGTCGCCTTGTTGATATGGTTTTTTTTTGTTTTTTTTTTCATAATTTTATCATTCCAAACCAAGGTGGGGCTGAAGTGGTTGTGGACTCATGGGTTTGAAGTAGGCCTATGTAGGATATAAAGCAAATATACGGTACATAAACGACAATGTTTTAAAGATTTATTGTCCATAGTACCTTACATATTATATTAATTACATCTCTGTGGTTGCTGAAAAATCTCTTGATAAAATGATCATGAGAAATTTGTTGGCGCGTTATTTTGACTATATATTGTATAATGGTGATGTGATTATCAGTACTGGTGATGATGATGAATTTTACCATATAAAGGTGTCATTTCCGGCTATATAGAGACACTATTTACTAAAATTTTGGCGACTCAGCCCCAAACATGGTGGGCCTGAGGTGGGTGTGACTTACGAAATGTTACATCACCCCACCCCCACTTTTAAAAACAGATCTGCTCCCCTGCCTGAGTAGGACATTAAACTCTATCCAGTCGACACCTGACAAAGAGTATGTCTTAGTGACTGCTGAGGGGAGGGTGCATAAACTTGTTTTCAAGATGTAATCTGGTTATTTTTATGCATTCTTCGTGATTATGAGTATTTTCAATAAAGAATGTGTTGAGCATTGTTCGGATTCAAGTGGGGAGAGGAGGCCTCCCTCTGAATATTTCAAATAAAAAAAAAAAGAAATTATATTCAATTTTCAATCTGAGAGTGTCATTTCCGGCCATCTAGAGGTGCCCTATCTTAAATGTGCCTCAGCCCCAATCATGGTGGGTGGACCCTATCTCGAAAGCCCTCCATGGGCTACCTCAATTCCGGGATCCGCCACTATTCAGTCATTATAGGCCTAATTATCGTTAGGCCTATAATATTATTTATGTTGTGTTTATTACAATTTTCACTGGCCTTTACCATCAAAACAGTCCTAAAATGTACAGAATGCGCTACCTCATAGGGGTCTTCGCGCTCCACCTCCCCCTCCCCATGGACCCAACCAGGATATTTGGCCCAGAGGCAACCCCCGCTCAGTACGTACCTCACAAGATCCACCCCTCCCCTTTGAAAATTCTGCCTATGTTCCCTGGCCGCACGCGTGAAGAGTATTTTTCATGAAGGTGACTAACGATCATTCCTGGTAAATTTGAGCTCAATTGGGCTATTTTTAAAATTTGACCCCGATGACCCCTATGTGACCCTTGTCCGGATTCTCTTTCAGCTTCTTTAAATCCTGAATACTGAAATTGTTGGTCCACTTAACCAATTTGTGGCCCTATAAAATCTTGGACAAAAATTGACAATCTGTATCCCGGAGCCCCTAAAGTCGGGCTGGCTTTCAACCAGTGAAGCTCAATCCTTACGCTTCTGTGTGAGAGGATCAAGGTTCGAATCAATAAGCTCAAAGTTGGAATACTCGATTTCAAAGACTGTGGACCACAGCAAAAAAGAACTGCTTAATCTGGATTTATACTCAAAATATCGTAACAATACAATCCGACCTTGCCGTTAATTCTTGAGAGACAACACCCATAATCACAGTATAAGAAAGTAATTAATCATCATCTATGATTCTATTTGCTTCACATTAATCACGTTTTTAAATAATTATTCTTAGGTTTATTTGTACAGGGTTGTGTTTTTTAATGTTGTGTTCACACATTCGGCATTTTAAAGTGTCATGGTTCCTTCTTGGTTCTGACCGTATTTTCGTCTGATTTTGATGAAAGTATAATAATATAATTCAATATTCTTATGTAATCTTTTTTATATTTTAATTATATAACATATTTTATTAATGATAAAGAATTTTTATGTTTAAATATTCCCAATCCCTGCGACAGTGGTGGCGCCAGAGGGGGGCTGGGGGCTATAGCCCCCCCCCCCGGTCGGGGAAGACGATAAATTGTGTCGGGGAACAAACAAATAAAAAAAAATATTTACATGTAATATTCGTTCAGCCACCATATTGTTTGTGTTAACTTTTCATCATCATCACAACAACAACAATACTACTACTACTACTACTACTACTACTAATAATAATTCAATTAGACTAATTGAAAATAATTTGCGTTCTGTTATGACAAATGCTAATTTAGATAGCCTTATGATGGTTGGAATGCATCGTGATAGGTGAAGCAACCTCGACCATGACAGCATGGTTGACAGATTTCATGCAAAATTTCCAAAATATATAATTTCACTTTCAAGAACGAGGATTTGAAAATTAATTAGATGGTTACATTGCATACTCTTTGTTTCTTGCTTTATTCAAATTGTTTTGGTTTTGGAAGCTGATTTCAACATTAGAAAACATAGCCTACATGAAGTCATATAGTAACTCGATGCATATCAAATAAATAATAAAAATTCGCCATAATTCATCAAATATCCATGGCTTCAGGGGGGCTTCGCCCCCTAGACCCCCACCGGGGGACTTGGGCGGCCCCTGGCTCCCAGCCAAGTGAGACTCGATCGCTCCACTAGCCCCCCCCCCCGTCGGGACCTTTAGCCCCTCCGTCGGGCAGGTCCTGGTGCCACCACTGCCTTGCGGTGCACCACGTAGATACTCTAGTTTTAAAAAGAGCTGCTGTTCAATTGTTAAGTTTTGAAGTTTCGATTGAGTTACTTTGAGTTTGTATTGCTTTAGGCCTATGAAGGCTATACTAGGCCTATATGACTATACGACTATACATCAAAGTTGTCATCATTGGAACTTTGAATATAATGATTAAGTATAGATATGGAAACAAATGCAAATGAACAAAGTCCAAAAAATAGACAAACATTTTGGAAACCAAACATCTCACACAAAATTGGTGAAACGATAAATGTCGCTAAAATACTTATGTCGTCTGAAAGAGATATAAGCGCCTGTACATGGCCGAACATATGCCGATAGTTTTTCCTTCCTTTCTCAGATAGGATTACAAACATCCAATATCGGACCATTGACACTAGTAATTGTGATACCGCATATAATATAGTCACCATGACCAGTGTTTCAGAAAAAGGCAACAGAATTGTAGACATCCCTATTATCACAAACCATATTGAGATCCAAACGAACTGGTTTTTACTGACATTGTACGCAATTAGTATTCCTATCGTCTGTAAAATGTAAGATGGAACGTAAACAAGCGAAATAAATTTGGAATGAAATTGATCATTTAGCCAAAGTGCAATTATTGGCATTAGTGCACTTCTTGTTAAACTTGAGCACGTGTACATCACCAAAGCCGAGGACATTGACACATCTTTCAATATTGTTGCAAAACTGGTAATTACGTGCTTATTTTCCTTGTGTTCTTCACTCGATTCATTCTCCTGTTCATCAATAGATTGGTAACCAGGTTCTATTGTATTGTTGCTATTATGATGATCTTTTTTATATAAGTATATACAATATAATGCAATATTGATAAGTACCATTAGTGATATTGGCAAGAACGCCCAGGTCTGTCCGAGTTCTTCATAAAGTAATCCAGCATAAGATGGTCCGAAAAATTTAACACTATACAAGACTTGTAAAACTGCGATAATAGGTAGCCGAACGCCACTATCTGAAAAAGGAGCCAGTATAGAAGAAATACCTGATATAGTCAAGCAACAAAGCGACATTCCTAAAAAAATATCACCAAGTATGTACCAGTATATATTTCTTGAGAAAGCGAATATTAAAGTCTGAATCAGAAGCGACATCATTCCAAAAAACAGCGGTCTCTCTGTCCCAAACGCATCTGTGATGTAGGCAAATATGGGACTCAACGAAATTGATATGACATAGGGTGTTGCAAACAGACCCACGATATCTACAGTAGTTTCGGTTGAAAATATCGACGTAGTGTTCTGTGATTTTAGATACATTCCATGAACTGCGACATCCAGCATTTCTGGCACGATTGGAACTATTGCAGACATTATAGCAAATTGAGTTCCAATTGCTAGGAATACAAACAGTACTTTAAAATGAAGTGCGTTAAATTTTGGTGGTTTGCTACGTGCTGCCATGATGATGATGATACGCCACCCAATACATATATATGACTAATTACCATCTTAACCAATTGACCAAGTCAAATTATTCTGAATGAATTCCTCTGCACAGGTAACAAAGGAATTGGTAATTCAGTATTCTAAAGAATCTTCTGTGATTTAACAAAAGTGCAAGTGTTTGAAAAGAAATAAGAAGACAGCTTTTGGGAAATACTGGACATAAAGAGCTCCTAATCCCAGTTAATCCTACTCATATGGTAATTATTGTAATCAGTAGTATTAAGTACAAGTAGGCCTATTGTTGCAATTATGGTGAAATAATAATCATTTGAACGTTTGCATGGCGAAGTAATAATATATTATATTATATTATGTTATATTATATTATATTATATACAGGTTTATTAGGATGTAACAGAAATGAACTCTAAGCCGTCTTTCTTGCGATATCCACGGCACACAATATTTTAGCCATCTTATACATTGTTAAAAAAAAACTCTCTAGGCCTAATAGTAAATAGGCCTACAAGGTTTTAGAATACTGAAGCAAACATTTTTACTCACAGACATATTTTTTTAATGTGTATTTTCACAGAGGCTTCTTACAATTAGCTACAGCCTTATCGTACCATATCGTACCATTAACAAAAAAAAGGTAAACGCCTCTAAACAGTGAACTGTAATATATGTTTGTTTGATAACGATTCACTTTATCAAATCATTTTCCTCGGTTTTTTTTGTTTTTTTTGTTTTTTTTGTCTTTTCCTACTTTTCAAACTTACATTCATCAATCAAAGGATCTCTCACACACACATCCGACACTTTACATCAATCGAACAGTTCAAATCTTCTCTGAAGAGTCATTTAGGCCTATTTAATATTTAAGTGCTCAAACAACTTTTACCTTTTATTGTTTTGTAAAGCGTTGTGATATCCTTGATAAGAGCGCTCTATAAATGACTGCATTATTATTATTATTATTATTATTATTATTATTATTATTATTATATTATTATTATTATTATTATTATTATTATTATTATTATTATTATTATTATTATTATTATTATTATTATTATTATTATTATTATTATTGTTATTATTATTATTATTATTATTATTATTATTATTATTACTTCTAGCCATATAAGCCCTAGTTTGGCGACTAAATAAAAAAGAAAAATAATATCCAGAGTTAAACTTTGCTAATAGAATTAAAAATTCGCCAATTGAAAACAAGATATTTTTTAATTTAAGTTTATTTGCTTTACATATATAGCTCAGAAGGCCTAATATTCATCATAATAATGGGTATAGTACTGTTTACTTGAGTACCGCAAGTTTCTGGTTTAGGCTAGTGCTGCATGACGCAAAAACACGTTGCCAACGCGTTTTATGAAATTGTGAATTGAAACGCACGTTTTAGTCTACAGGAGAGATACAGAGGAAAGAGCGCGTTGTTTTCAAACCTGGTTAACGTTATTCACTGTATGTAAGTCTCTAAGCAGAAAGCCTTTACCAATGTATATATTTTGTAAAAATATTTTGGCAGTGGTACCAAACCATAATTCAGCAGAGCATGGCCTCATCAAGTAGTACACATCTAGCCTCTAGACCTAGGCCTTGTGACGTAGGCCCTGGGATACCCATTCCGCACACTTTCCTCACCGCAACCGCATTTCAGGGCCACTAGGCCTAGGCCTAGGCCCTGGCCATATCATATAGGGCTGACGGCCTAAAGCAGACTGGATTTTTCCTAATCTAGGGCCTATGCCTACCTAGCCTAGGCTAGGAGAAATTGTTCCTTGAACTTTAGGTTGAACGCCACCCTCGGCTGGTGTCATGAAACCGATATCTTGTATTGTTACTTGTGTCCCGTGATAAGTAATTAGGCCTAGCTAGCCTAGTCTAGTGCTTTCCTTATTCTTTCTCCTCCTATGACAGTCCCACTATGTCCGGTATATTGTTTCCACACACAGTTAACTAAATAGGGGCCTAGGCCTAACTACATTACATGCCCTATTATCATACTGTTAAGTTTTTTAATATGCCTTTTCCACGAATTGGTAGACATCTTGAAGTAATGACAAACAACCCAAAAGTGGTGCATAGCCAACAGAAATAAGATAAGCTTTGAGGCTGAATTCTTGTCCTCATGATATCTAAAATTCATAACTCCATAACGGAGGGTCGTATTACATTAATTTTTTATGGAAAATGTTCTCAAAAGACTATTCTACACCACTATGATTGAAAAAAAATTGAAAAAATGTTTTTGACCTCTGAAATCAAAATGGAAAATGAAAATCCTATCTAAATAGTGTATTAAAAAAGGCCTATGCATTACAGTGCAGTAGTACTAGTCGTACTCTAGACTAGCATTACTATATGAGAGTTTCCTGTGTTAAAAACATGATTTACTATATTATAGTTTTTCTACAAAACATAACTTGTACTTTATAATAAAAGAAATCTGTATATTATCGGTACCTAGAACAGTAACAATACAAAAGTACTATGCTACTGCATTGCAATGCTTAGGATTACTGTATTTTTATGGAAAAGGCGTATTGCGCTTAGGATAGCTATTATATTATTAGATTATCACTCCCGCCCGCATCAAACATTTTGGAAATAATGACGCTGGAATAATTTATTTTTCTTGTATTTAGTTATTTATTTTTATTTTTTTTGTAGCATCATTTATTTTAACAGCATAAAAACAACTTTGCAAAAAACAAATTCTCACAAAATATAAGGAATTGCTCCGAATTCAGCAGACATCAAACTCTTCAAATTGATTAGATCAGACATCGGGATCGCCGCCATAAAGTCGAAAATGCAAAGCCCATTCTTTAAACTTGTCGTTTGCTGTACAGCTAAAAATAAACACCTTGCTAACTGCGGCAAAAAATAGACACTGCGGTCTGTCCCTAAAGAGACCTACCCAGTGGGGTGATTGGATTGTTAATTCACAGAGTGGAGACTTGTGTGTCCCACAGGCTGCAGCTAATAATAGGCAACACTGTATTCCGTCCCTAAAGAGACCCGCCCAGTGGGCTAATCGGATCGTTGATTCACAGCATGAAGACTTGCATGTTCCACAGAGATTCGCTGCTAAGAATAACTCTTTACATCATGCATTACAATGATGGTCTTCTTTGGGATGGGTGTGTGTGTTTGGTTGGATTGGTTGTTGGAAAAAAAAACTAACCTACGACATCAAGAAAGAAAGTTTAAGCAAAGGTTGGCCTAGCTCGTGGTAAAGACCAAAGCCTAGTCGCCTACTGTATGCCTACAAACTATAATTAGGATATTCCCTTCCCTTTGATGCTCGAGTAATTTCTGATTATTTCACCGGAATATAGGCCTAGTTTTGGATAGATTATTGATTCACAGGGTAGTGAATGTATCTGCCACTTCGAACAACGATGTCATGTTTGTTCTGTCACACGGGAATCCCCAGGTATAATCCCACCCCCCTCCAACATAAAAAAAAAATGAAAAACCCTCCCACACTCATAAATTTTTTGTAAAAAGAGTGATAATCTAATAATTTTTTTCTATGTGCCCTTATATTAGCGTGGAAAATCGCTTGCAAAATAGGTGAGCGGAATCGTAATTTCTACATAATTGCATTGGTTATATTTTCAGATTTTTTCAAAGCCTAATTTTCTGCAAAATTTTTGCCGAAATTGGCCCTTATTTCCGAAATGCACGGACAGATATCTAGACCTGTAAAGTAAGGTCTGCGCGGGGAATGTACCCTCTGTGCACAATATGCAGCTTCCCCATCATCTTCCAGCTTCTTTTCTATCTCCATGAGCTTCACCACTCTTTCCCTAGTTTTTCCACTTTCCACAATTGATTTTATTTGTTATTCATCTCCAGGTATAATATCTACTCTCTCCCTCTTTTCATATGTCTTTTGGGGTGATTTAGCAACAGTGAGTTATATAGTCAGTTTTAATATAGCCTATTAAACCTCCTCCATCTTATTTTTATTACTCCCTATTTATTATTTATATAATTATGTTTTGATATAATCACAGATTCATGAAGATTACTGAAAAATGTGTGAAGTTTTGAAATCAAATTTTGAAGAAATTTATCCTGAAATTGAAGATTCAATTAAAAGAAGTTCATTTATAGGTAATTATCAATTAATCTGTTTATTATCAAATGCATAGAAGATACTAACATATAGATATTGATTAAGCTCCCAGGTTAGGCATTTTGTTGCTTGGGAGGCTATTTTAAAAAAGTGGTCTTGAATTAAGCCCCTTTCAGATAGAAGTTACCGCAATATTGCGGTAAGCATGCCAGCATAATAACCAGTTTATACCATTTCACACAGTACCTTTGTTACCGCAATATTGCTTGAGCCTCCCGCACTTCACATTCGCGCCCCATCAGCCCCTCCCAAATTTTAATACTTCTAGATACGCTACTGGTTGTTGGGGGGGGGGGGGGGGGGGGGTGGAAATTTAGAACCTTAGAAATATTAAGGTCTCATGTGAAAATATTACTTAATATGATATTAACATCTGTTTTGTTATATTTGAAGGTGAACTAGAACTGTAGAGAATATAGTTTTCTTAACATTTACACTCGCCTCTCTGAAGAAGTAAAGGGTATTGCAATTATAGCGCTCATCTGTGTGTGTGTGTCCTTCCAGGCACGTAACTCAAAAACTACTTCACTGATTTACTTCAAATTTTTACGTTAACAGTGTTACTTGTATCTTGGTCCTCCTCAAATTTAGGGGTGGTGCCAGGATTTCCCTGACAGGGGGGGGGGGGGGCAGTGTCCTCGGCGAAAAAAAGTGGCCGTGGTCTGGCATCGCTCAAAATCTCTAGAAAGTGTTCCAGGGGCAAAGCCCGGAAAAAATATGACAATTTAGGGGTTTCAAAGGCTTATTTTATCAATTTTAGAGTCTACTAATATGTAGAAAATACATTTACATTTTATTTTTCCCGCCCTCCCCCCACTCCTCAGCTTTCGCCACCCTTGCTCAAATTTGGTGCGGATCCGAAGTATAAGATACAGAGTTTAGAATGTTATTTATATATTTTCCAGCCACAACAGGCAGAGCCAACTTAAGCAGGTCGTTTGGTCTCATTTGGCTAGGCTGAGTGGACTCAAGCGTATCGACCCTAAGCTGGAGTAGGGAATATGTCAAATTCTGGCGGCAGACTGAGGGCGATCTGGCTTGCATGCAAGCTCGCTTGATTAATGGCCTATTATGCTAGGCCTTGTTTGGCTAGGATGAGCCAACTTGAGCGGTTCGAGCGCAGGCCATTATTTTTTTGGTACATAGATATGGTGCAACAGGGTGAGGGTTTGTAATTATCTAAGATTTTCTTGTTTGTATAGGTTTAATTAAGGGAAGAATGACAGTTTGGGTAATATTTGACATATTTGACTGATTTTCTAGTAAACAAAGTTGAGAGTGATGTTTTTCATTCTCAAATTCTGATCTATTTTTCAGCCATTGATCTGGAGTTCACAGGTTTACATTTTGAAGATGGTTGTAATAACAACATGTTTGATGATGGAGCTGAGAGATATTCAAAATTAAAAAAGAATTGTCAGAATTTTACAATTAGTCAAATAGGTGGGTTTCATTGCTGTTTTCTTCAAAATATTTTATTTATGTATTGTCTTAAAGCCAGGCTCCAGAAAAAATATGAAAAAACAGATTTTATAAGACACATAAAGGTGTTTGATGAAAAACGGTTAATGCGATACAGATTTTTTAATATTTGAAAACTGGGGGAAGGGGGGGGCGTAACCATTATTTTTTCTACTTTTTCCAGACTTCATAGGGTTAACTATTTAGTCTGACAATTGAATGTAAACCACAGTGCCCAAACAAGAAGAAATTTAAAACAGAAAACAGAATTGGGTTTGAACAAACATAAAGGTAAAATATGTTAACTGAATATTAATTAGTTTAAAATTATTTTAAAAATATTTATTTTTATTTCTTGAAGGATTGGCAGTTTTCAGACATGATACAACAAACAGTTGGTAAGAATGGCTACCATTTTAATAATTTTTATTTTTGCCTTTTTTGCCAATTTCGGATAAAGACCTTTCTTCATTACGTTTCCAAAAATTGTGCATTGTATCACTATGGTAATGTATTGTAATATATGTATGTATATTTATTTTTAGTATTATGATATTATGTAGATATTATTGCTTAATTTTTCATGTTCTATGATAATGTATTATAGGTATACGATATTTATAATTCATTTTTAGTATATTGACATTGTGTATATATTATTACTTAATGTATATTTATTCTTCTTTTCATATATTATGATATTGTTATATATGTATTACACCTTTTCCATGCTATTTTTTATCTATTTTATGTATATTTACACTTCGTTTTCAATATTATGATATTGAGTACGTATTATTATTTACTTTTTCATGCTATGGTAAATTGAATTATAGTGCATGGCTCACCATATGTACGAAGCAAATTCTGGAAAAAGAGAATGCTTTTTCAGGAATTTGTTCAGATCTTCAGAATTATATTATTTTGATGGCTTGCATGTTATGCACCTCATGGATCTGTTGATTGATTGTTTTCGTGATCTCTTAATACATTTATTTACTTTCATGATTCAATTCCATTTTTACCTTTAAGCTTGGGATTGAAGCTGAGATCTTACAGTGATTATGTGCCATGAGCGTCTTTGACGGATACCGGTGCATTATAAATATCCGTTTATTATTATTATTAATACATTATAAGAAAATATAATACATACTATTGTATTGAAAGTATGTAAAGTATTGAAACTCATAACTCATTTTATTGCAATTGTATAGCAGATGGGATAATACAAAATATTCAAAGTAAGAAATAAAACATAAACAGGCACAATAAAAAGGCATTCATAGATTATATATACAAAAATTATCTGTTATCCATAATTACTATTTACAAAAATTTTATAAAAATCCTAATCACAAGAACAGGCAATTTGTAAATGTCAAAAATTCATTCATATAATTAAAATTTATCATTATTTACAAAGATTTATAAAAATATAATTCTTATTTAAAAAAAAAAATCAAAATTTAAATCACAAGTGGAAGCAAATTCTAAATATCTAAAATTCAATAAATTTTTATCAGTTTGGTTAAAAATAAATAAATAAAAGAATACTCATAAACACAAGAACACCATCAATTGAAGAAAAAAGGGGAAAAAAAATAATTATCTCGTTATTATCAGTTATCAATTACAATGATACCCAGTCAAAAAACAAATAAAATTTTCACTAGGAGGAGGCAAAAAAATATGACAAGGAAATACACACCATCGTGTTCCAGTATTCAGTATTTCAACATTAATTATGTCATCATCAGGAATTGCCAACACAATAGCTGGCTTTTCAACAATGGCAGTATGTATTATACTGTACTTTTTATCTTGAGATTCATCAATGGACCATTTGGTTTTTAGAATACCAAATTATGTATTGTATATGTACAGTTGAACTTGCCTAAGTTGGATACAAAATGGCATTGAAAAATTGTTCCACTAAAATTGTACTTACTGTACAGATTTTTAATGGAAAACACTTGTAAAAGATAAGATCAACTTTTATTTGAATTAGGCAAAGTTGACTTAGCAAGTTTAACTGTATTACAATTATTGTATTTTGTCTTTATGTAATTAAATATTAATACATTTTTGCTAATAAGTTTTTTATTTGTACAGTTACACTGCTAATGTCTTCAATGTGTTTGTGTTTCCACAAAGCTGTGCCAGTCTTGATGAACGATTCTCTTGCCAGGTACGTTGATCAATCTAAATGGTCAGTGAAGCAATCAATCAATCAGTCAATCAATCAATTAATTACAATATATTGAGTCATAATCAATAGATCAATCAAACAATTAGTCAATAAACCAGTCAGTTTTAATAAATCAGTCGCATACAATTAGTCAGTTGATTTAATGATTAGTTATTAGCTGAGCCAGCCTCCTCCACCTAAATGTTTCAAAATTATAAGAAAATGGAGAAAGAAAAAAAAATTATAATCAAATTTAAGTCTGAAAGTGCCATTTCCGGCCATCTAGAAGTGTCATAAATCAGAATTTTCCTTCCTCAGCCCCCAACCATGGTGGGGCTAAGGTGGGTTGACCTTCTGTGTGTGAAACTACCTCTTTGTGCCCCCCCCCCTATCCCCACATTCTTTCAAATCCCTTGATCCACCACCGATATATGATACCAGGATTTTAGAGAATTTAAAATTCAAGAAATGTTCAAAGCACATTTAAGAAATTGCATTTGTATTCTATAAAAACCGCACACTTCTAAGTATCATGTATTAAAAAGCATGGAATTCAGTGTATTACCATTATGTCTGAAAAAAATTATTGTTGTTTTTTTTCGCAGGCGTCATCCTTAAAATTCCTTTGCCAGTATGAATTTGACTTTAACAAAGTAAGTAACATGTAAGAATCATTTTGATGACTTTAAATTTGGTACAATGTATTTACTGTAAGGATTTTTCTCAAACAAAAATAAATCCCACACTCTAAAGCAGTGCAATCATCGTGTCATGACCATTGTACAAAATATCCATTTCTGCTGCCTGTGAGTGGTTGACAACCCAATGCTGTTTCCCGATTGTCGTAGGAAGATTGATTGGATCGTCATTAAAAATTATCTGCTTCTCCCTTTATCGTGTTGAATTTTATACACTGACATTGGCCAATGACTGTCTGCCCATTGTGTATGGGGTGCGATACGCAGCAAAAGTCCATGTTAAAATCAAAATGTAATTGCAAAATTCAATGTCTAATTTATCAAAACGTAGGCATAAATTTCTCAAAATGTAGATCTAGTTTCCCAAAATGAAGTTCTAATTTTTCAATAAACATAGTTCAAATTTTCCAAAATGTAGTTCTAATTTCTTTAAAATGTAATTCAAATTCAAAACGTAGGTCTGACTTGATAAACGCCCTCTCCAAATTCTGTTTCAAAACGTAAATCAAAACCAGCCAAGCATGACTGGTTTGAAATACATTTTATAACAACACAAGACATGTGAAATGTAAATCAAAACTAGTCAGCCAAGCATGATGTGGGTCTGTTCCATTAATGATGGGGAATCATTTTTCGCTGCAGTCCAATGCCGTGAACAAGGCTTCCCAGCGTGTCTTTACCGTGATCACGAGCCCTATGCTAGGCATTATAGGCTAGGATTATGTGGGCTGAGATTTGCAACAAGGTCTTGGACTAGGCCTCTATACTATAGTAGTATTGAGAAAATTACGGCTACATTTTGATAAATTAGACATTGAATTTTGCAATTACATTTTGATTTTAACATTGACTTTTGCTGCATATGGCACCCCATAATTGTGTGCCTGACTTAAGTGTCATAATACACTTGGTTAAACAGCAACAAGGGTGCCCCATTGGTATTGGTATTGATATTTTTTTGATTACTATTAGTCATTCATTAATTAATTCTAAATATTCCCCTGTACCCCTGAAACGGGTGCTTCACATACATTTATCTCACTCTCCACCCAGAATATTACATTAGTAATTAAAAGTATATGTGACATTGTACGATTCGCAACTACCTTTGAGAACTGAAAATTTGGGGTGGTCTCAGGATTTGGTCTCCATATTAGAGGGCTGGCTTTGTGTGAAAAGATTGAATAGAGGACTTTTATTTGGTTCTTAAAATAAGTGGTCTGGAATTAGAGGGGTCTTAGAAATTAGATGGGCCTCGAATTGGAGGGTACACTTAATGTTATTGGTTGTGCATATGATGAACAGGGGAGTTGAATAGCCAAGCGGTTAAGGCAGCAGAACAGCAACCTACAGCCATAATTTCGCCGCTGGTTGGAACGGCATACTCGCCTATTATGGTTCTCGAGGAGGAACAAGTATTCTCGGATAAGGACTATAAACCGTATTCTCAGTGTACACATTTGGCTTATGTGCACTATAAAGAACGCAGTACATTTTTCGAGATGAGTCAAGGGTTACCCCGGTGTACTGCTTTATCGCATAGCCCCTGCCATTGTGGACTAGATGGCACATGTTTCTGGCCTGCGCATGACGTGACGGGACCCTTAGGGGTGAAGTAAGTTGTAGTAATGAGTAGTCCACATCCGTCGGGCCAAAGCCGTCAACTGTGAAGTTGGCCCTCCACCTAGAAGAAGAAGAAGAATTGCAGCCTGTATGCACACCAGAAAGCATACAAAAAGTGAATTACAGTATGTGCTAGCGAGTCATGGATTAAATGACCAACAATAATAATAACTTACCTTAAATTTTAACTTGTATAGGTACTTGAAACTTCATGGTTTTGCAAAAAAATTTACGTTGTACAGCAGCTACCTCTTTTAACTTAAGGAGGAAGAGTGAGATTTGTACATCCTTGTCTAAGAATATTTTCAGAGATTTAAATTGAATTGAATTGAATCACCAATGTGTTTTATGCTTCCACACATGTTAAAAATGGACTCTCTTCAGTCATAAGTGTGATTAAATATTGTATTTATACATGTCTCTGGCATGTTTCCTTCTACTACACTTTGAAGAGCTAGTATTCTCTGAAAGTGAATAAATTTTATTTCATTGTTTTACATTTTTTTAGTTCATCTACGATGGTGTTCCGTTTTTAACCCATGAGCAAGAAGAAAAGCTGAGGGCTTTGGGTAACCCAGAGGAATTGCTCAGGTTTGTCTATAATGTAATAAGTATCTAGTAATATTGTATATGGTGTAGCTAAATATTTTGAAATTTTCCAACCGCAAGTTGTGTATCAACTTCTTTTCAAGGTACGCATGGACTGCAGTCTTTACGTATAATAAACAGGTTGTGGATATTACAGTATAGGCTACTGTGAAATTTTTCAAATTAAAACAGCATAATTTTTTATACTTTTCAATGCTGTGATTTGTTCTACAACCCTTTAATTAGCATTTGCAGCTAATAATTTACAATTTATGTTTATAATCGTAGAACATAAAATACATACTATTATATTTCCAGTACCATAGGTGGGAACTTTTTCCGTCCGATATTTACCAGCGTCTCAGTTTGGTTAAGGCAGGCTGCTGTTGATGATGAAATGGTCATCGATGCTAACAGAGGTTTGTCCAATTTATTGTGTAGTGTAAAATAAATTTTTAATTTTGATTTGGAAAATATCAAATAAAATGTATATTGTATTGTATATGGTACAAAGTAGACTCTTCACTTTGTTTATTGTTCAGGGGTGGATTGCTATAAAATGGTCTTAACTGGTAGTTTTAACTCCTTGAATAAAGCCGGCTTTATCACTTAGACGGTCTTACTAGAGTCACTCTGCTATAAAATGGTCTTTGCTTAGACCGCTTTGAGTATTGAAACGCAAACAAGTACTCTGTGGTAACATAAAATTGAGGGTGCTGTTACGTTTTGCTCAAAACATGCTTATTTATCGAAATGAACCAAAATAAACATAGACTAATTTTTGCAGATGCTGAGAAGCTTGCGGAATATTCGTCGTTTGATTCTTTGTCTTTGACAATCTAGGCCTAGATCTAGTACCTGTAATGCCATGATGAAAATGATTAAGACCGTTGTAAGCCTCCTCCAAGTAGGCTTTGAAATTTAAGACGGCTAACTGGTTAGACCGCAGTATAGCAATGGTCTATAATAGACCAGCAGTGATGTCACGATTAAAGCCGGCTAAGCGTCTGTCTAAAGACCGCTTATAATAATTACACTGTGTATCCAGGGGTCCCAATTTGGGAAAAATCCCTTCCTGGAGATCTGATTAAATAAGCTATCCTAACACATTTAGTTTCATTTTGCTCACATGACGATACCCATCAAGACTGACTTCTGTGAGACAATTGATAATAAAGTAGTAAAAAGAAACAAAATATTATGCATTTGCGGAAGATGGGTTATTTGCTGAGAGATTCTTGCTTGCTTGCAAGAGTGCAGTAGGCATCCCGATTCTGGGAAACTTGCGACTTCTGGGAAACTTGGGACTTCTGGGAAACTTGGGACTTCTGGGAAACTTGGGACCCTGTGTATTTTGTATCTCAAAAAGTAGCTACACAATTAGACCACTTATATCTATGGTTCAAATCCTACGCTGATTCAAATCCTTTATTTTTGCTCTACAGGTGTGGATATTTTGATTTTACAAGCAAAATTGTGTACCATGTTCAAGGAAATATGGACAAGATCAACAAGTAAAAATGAAGTATGTAAAAGAGCATAAAATAAAGTAGTAAAAGGAAACAAAATATTAAGAATTTGTGGAAGATGGGTTATTTGCTGATAGATTCTTGCTTGCAGCAGTGCAGGAGGCGTCCCAATTAATAAAACATGGCAGTCAAGTCTCATATGTTAGATTCCCCTCTATCATCTTTAATAATCAAGAGGAAGTTATATATAACTTTTCCAACACTACCATCGTCGTCACTATCACCAGTTTCTTTGTAATCATTACCATCATTTTCATCATCATATGATCGTCATCATGAGATTCAGATGATAATAACTTCATTGTCATATAACATAAAAAAAATGTCATAAATTCTTTTTCATTATTTATATAACATGGAAGCAGTTTGGCGCAGCGGGAATGGTTTGGTTTCCCAACCTCGAGGTCGGGGTTTCAATCCCTCTCTGTGCTTTTCGCTTGTGTCCTTCAGCAAGACACTTTATCTGAATTGCTTCTCTTCACCCAGGAGTATAAATGGGGACCTGGTGGGGTTACTTGCTGCTGCGCTGATAACCAGCAGCAACACTTAGCATGTGGACCCAATGACCAGGGAAAAAGAACTTCAGCGCTATACAAATAACAAGTAACAAGTAGTTTAAAAGATTTCCCACACGGATAGAATATATGAGCGGTACTGTGTTAACACAACTTGATATCTTGCTTCAAACAAGGTATCCATTCGTAGAAGTCTTATGGAGATTTTTCTAATTTAATTTAATATTTGTTTCATTTATACTGTTGTCTGTCGTAAAGTTGAGCTGCTCTTTTCATGTAAAGAAATAAAATATATGAAGCTTGAGGCTGCTGGCACCTTGACCTCTGATGATTAGTGCCAACAAATTTTAACAAAAATGTGATGCAATAATGACAAAATGATTATTATTGTTTATTTTCGGTGAGTATTTCAGCTGCTCAAAATTTCTTCCCTATTCTTCTTTCTTCCTATGCTTCTCCCTTATTTTCATTTAATTTAGTTTATTTTACTAAATACATATAATGTTTATATAAATATATCATTCGATACATAATTACATATTTTAACTGGACTCTAGAACTAGGCTTTATACATTGTGTCTGTATTTAACATATTTCAATCTTTGTCAATCTAAAGTCGAAGGTATGTCCTGGTCCCGTCCGTGTAACTTCACTATTGGATAGCTTATCTCCATAAGACTTCTACGAAGGGGAACCTTCAAAGCAAGAAATCAAGTTGTCTTTACCCAGTACCGCTCGTATATTTTATTTGTGTGGGAAATCTTTAACCTACAGTATGTCAACAACACAATAATGGTGGAAATTTTGATCAAGATCATCGTCATCATCATCATTATTGTCAATAACATCATTATCTTAATCCCCATCATCATTTAAAACCTATCATTATCATTCAGTATTATTGCAATCGTCTTCAATACATTTTTTCTAAGAAAACCATAACTATCTTTATCATAATTTTCAATGACACCTCCATGGTGAATTATTATAATATAATTATTGAGAATCGTTTTTTTTCTTTCTTCCACTACTAAAGGTAATTGTAATGAAAGTGAGCGTTGAAAAAAGAAAAGTATTAGAAAATACATCGCCAGCATGGAAATCAAGGTGAAAATACTTTTTAAAACATAGTGTATATAACTAAAAATTACTACCATAAAATTGATATAGCACATATTTAGGAAGGAAGTCGAGTAGGGAAGTGGCTGTTTTAGTCGCAGTGCTTTAAATGTTAGTAGAAGAATTTTATACTTTATTCATGAATTAATAGGAAGCCAATGAAAATTATAGATAACGGGAGATATGTGGGATCGTCTACTAGTAAGTGTTTGTATACGTGCAGCAGTGTTCTGTGAAGACGTAATCTGGTTAGCTGAGCTTTAGGTAGTGCAGGGAAAAGTGAGTTATAGTAATACAGTAATCAAGTATTATTATTATTATTATTATTTTCATCATAGGCAAAGCCTATATTTAATCCAATATATTATGGCCTTAACGGCCCCAACAAGACGTGTTTCGGCAGTCTACTACCATCGTCAGTTATCTTATTGCACGCAGGCTATCATTAGTATAGGGAGTAAAAAATTCAATGTTTGGCATGCTAAAAAATTGTGGAATGAACCGTAACAATACTACAAAACAAAATATAAATAAAGCATTTGAATAGTTCATGTCATTGTAAACAATCAGCCAATGTAATGTACATTATCTACACCCATCTGCTCAACTTTTTGTTAAAACCAATACTTTAAACATATTTGATTTATACGAAAAATATGTAGCCAACTTAATGTTTTTATATGATAAGGGTTTACTACCAGAATCTTTTGATTTGTTGTTCCGTACACTTGACTCGTACCATAATCATAATACACGATATAAGCAAAACCTTGTTATCGACTTAAAACGCACAAATGTTGGCCGACAAGGGATGTCGTATATAGCAGGGCTAGAAATTTACTTTTTCAGCCACTAGCAACCTATTGCTAAAATGTGCTAGTTGTTAAAAATGTAACTAGCAAAATGAGCTTCTCAACTAGTAAAATATATTGATACCAATTCAACATATTATTTTCGGAAAATAAATAATTATGTACTTCTATAAATTTGTGTTAAATGTTTTAATATACTATTTTCTGTTATGGTGAGTGTAGTACTGTACAATAAATATCACAAAGAAATAGCCAAGTGAGTATAAAAAAAATCGATTTCTATACCTTGTACATTTATTCACTTCAGTGTCAGAAAATTTTTAATATGAAAAAAAAAATCATGATACAAAATAAAAATTTAATATTATACTTAATTTATTTTTTAAAATAAGTTAAGTTTATCATTCATTTAATTTTTATTTTGTATCTGTGATTTTGTTTTCATATTAAATATGTACTGCTTATTGGAATTTTTCAAAATAATATAATTATAAATAAAATTTATTTTATATTAATTTTATATCATATTATTTTGAAAAATTAAAAAAATATACTTGTTTAGTGTCACACCCTCAGAAATATTCAGGGGCGGGAGGAGTTTTTTTGTTGTCAGACTAGCCTTGGCCTAGCTAGCCTAGGCAGGCTTAGCTAGGGGCTAGGCCTAGAGATTTCAAAAACTGCATTGGTAGCAAGCCAAATCTTTGACAGAAAAAGGCCATAACAGAAACTCAATTTTACATAAAAGATTTGTTTGTACTATATTTATTTTGATAGGCCTTGGTCTTTTAAAGCTGGGGCTAGACGTTTTGTAGGCGGCCGCTGGTGCAGTAGTAGGCCTAGGATAGGAGGCCAGACTAGCTAGGCTAGGGTCTAGTAGGCTAGGCCTAAAACATCTGCCAATTGAAGCCTAGGTTGTAACCTATTATTTGTCTAAGCTTCATAGTAAATTATTATTATCATATCTGAAACATTGTTTATTCTAAAAAGAACCAAACTAAATATGTTCGCCTTAACTACCGATCGCATCGCCCGTTAGTTCCGTCAACAAACACATGTGAGCGATTATTTTTTTCTGCACACTGCTTACTTAGCTTGCTTGTTGCATGCATGCAAGCAATGCAAGGTTTAAACAAATTAATGTTGGTGGCGCACTTCACATCTTGTGCTCAAGATGAAAAAAACGATCGTTTTTCGTCGATTATAGGCATTTTTAGTCGATTTTCATAATTAAAAAATAAATAAATAAATTTAATAAAATTTGTATTAGTTTTTGTAGATCAGTTTAGTCTAGTTTTATTTAATACTAGGCTAATTACAAGATATTTTGTATAGATATTTCAACTAGCAATCATTTTTTTTAATTTGCTGGTTTGTGAATTTTTACCTAGCAATTATGACAAACCTACTAGCAAATTGCTAGTTTGCTAGCGTGAATTTCGAGCCCTGTATAGGGCCTAAGGTGTGGAACAACATATCAAGCAATGTAAGAGCATGTGCTAATATTTCACTATTTAAGAACAAAATGAATAATATTTATCATGAAAGTTATAAGATGAAATGGTACCACTGCCAGGAAGGGAACAATTGTATTATTTGTAAAGAAATTTGTCAATAATAGTCAATGATGTTTAAGTGCAATTTATATGTTGCTTTATTGCTGCTATTTAATTTAATTATTTATATTGCTATCTAAGACCGACATATTATTTATATTTTATCATTATTATTATTATTATTATTTATTCTATTTTTCTTTTCTTTGCTATTATTCTTATTCTTCTTCTTATTATTATTATTATTATTATTATTGTCTTGATCTATGATATGAAAGTGCTTTAATTAAAATGTATACCTTGACTTACTTTGTCAATTTGAAATAGTATCTTAATTACTTTTTTTCGGGCGCCACTAGCGTAAAGCTCTGCTTGTTTGTGGTTGCCCTTTCCAATTCCATTTTTATATGTCTTTACTGCTATGCTTTGAAAAGATTTGGAATAAATTTATTTTGAATTGAATTGAATGAGGACTGCTTCACTATACTGGACTCTGCCTCTACAACCCAAATTCTAAAAATCAAAAAGCCTTGCATATTCAGTGGGAGCAGCCCTCACTGAACAAACAGCTTCTTCATGTTAATTTATCTTTGTCATTCTAAATTCATTCCATTCTCCCCTTTGTGGCATAGATACTGTACTCTGATTTCACCTCATCTTTATTTATATTTTGTTTTGTAGTATTGTTTCCACAATTTTTTAGCATGCAAAACATTGAATTTTTTACTCCCCTATACAAATGATTGCCTGCGTGCAATAAGATAACTGACGATGGTAGTAGACTGCCGAAACATGTCTTGTTGGGGCCGTTAAGGCCATAATATATTGGATTAAATATAGGCTTTGCCTATGATGAAGATACGATCTGAAGTTTATTAGCTGTCTGCTGTTCAATCGTTATTATTATTATTATTATTATTATTATTATTATTATTGCAACCACTATGTATTTTGCTATATGTGAGGTTGGTTGTAAGCCACAGGTAAACATAATATGATAATTATATAATTACCAGGTAATTTATTTCATATTTATATAAACCTCTGGTAAATACATCACAGGTATATATGATAAGGTATATGCATCACAGTATTAAGCCAAAGTTTAATATACCACAGGTGAATTCACCACAAGGAAATGTACGAAAAACCGAAAGGTCCACTGATTAATCTCAGATAAGAAAGTATAATACATACCCCAAGTATTGAAATTCACACCATCCTGTTGGGATTCAATATTTCAATATTAATTATGTCATCTTCAGTATTGAAATGCACGCCATCGTGTTGGGATTTAATATTTCGACATTAATCATCAGGAATGATGATGACATTAAATTAATGTTGAAATATTGAATCCCAACACGATGGCATGCATTTCAATACTTGAAGTATACTACACGTAAATAAACAAACAATACGAGGAAACTTACTCCAGGTAAGTATAAGCAATAAGGAAATAAAAGTAGACTAAGATAAAGAGCAACAGGTAAATGCCCTACAGGTAGATACACAAAAGTTACACCACATGTAATTGCACTTCAGGTAATTATGCCACAGGTTAATACGCCATAGGTAAATATACCACAGGTAAATATAACACACAGCGCAGGTACGGTAAATAAAAAACCTCAAGTAAATACACTACATAATTACAATACCAAATATTTCGCAGGTAAGTGCACCGCATGTAAATAAAATACATTACATGGGAAGGTGGTTTGGTGCTGGGATTTCCATTCAGGTTCTGAACCTCGTCTAGTGTTCAAACCACACAATGACCGTTTTTAGCATGCACAGTTACTCTAGCTTGCAATGTTGATGGGTTGTGAAGTGGCTCAGCGCAAGGTGTGCATATTTCATGGCTTAATAATAAAGAAAATATTGTGGCTGCCTCACATCAATATTTATGGTAACATCATGCCTGATATACTGTACCAAGATAAAAAAGAAATTATAATTGATGAATATATTCTATGGTGAAAAAATTATTAACCAATTTTTTTTTTTTTTTTTTTTTTTTTTTTTTTGAGGGTTTTTTGTTTGTTTGTTGGT